TTTGTTACAAGCCGTCAAATGGCATGGTCAGAATGTTAAAACTTGCGTAGAATTTCATAGACTTCTGATAGTTCTTGAGATATAGATTGAAAATTATTGATTTTTCAAATGAGCGGCCATTCCGGCAATGAGCTTGATGTAGCTCATCTATGCACCCGTACAGACTTACATATTATTAACTTTGTATTGGTCTGAGAATTTCCAATAATTGAGACTAATATGATTACATAGTAAAAAGGGGAGAGTTAGGAGGTTCGACTTCTGAATAAACTCTAACATATTCCATATCCAGTGCTTTCCACAATATCAGTAAGGGAGACAGGAAAGAAAATGCTTTTCATTCAGTTAATGCTACTATAGACTTACTAATGCAAGGACTTCCTGTTACTCATAAATTTAATATTGAATTTCCCCTTTAGACTTATCTCCTAATGCAGTTCCTATCTTCTCCAGTTTTGTATATCAGTCCACTGAGTCATCACATCTTATTTTAAAATTGTACTGTACATTTTTTTGAGGTTAAACATTGAAGACAACAGAATCAACTAGTACTGAAAGAAATGGTTCCTTATTTGGTGTTTCAGTCTATTTTCATTATACTATATAACATGAAGTTTCTTCATGGGTGGTTGCAAAAGAATAAAACAGCTTTCTGTTCTTAGGCTTTCCATTCCAAGATGAATGTTAATACCTTTTATAAACCATAAACCACTGTTATTAATTGGGAAATGAGAATATAGCCTGATGTCATAGAAGCTAAGATGACACAGACTGGAAAAATTAATCAACAGGAAACACTGAATAACAAGGATTCAGCTGGAAGCAATATATCAAACACACCGTAACTCTGACCAAGACATAGCATTCTGATGAACCACCGAGTACGCTGACATATAAAGGAAACATTTTTCTGGAGCATTACCGTTGGAACTAGGAAAAATGCATCCTCAAGCTATCCTTCTCTTTTCCAGGAATCAGTGCTGCTTTTCCCTGCCAAACACTTTTCCTTATTCTAATCAAAACCAATACTCATTACTGCCATTGAGGAGTACCCAGAAACTTTTGTGCTCTTACCTGTGGAAATGATAGAACTTCAAGCAGTTGGATTGCTCGTGTTTGGTAGCGTATCTTGAAACACCACTTTCCCTTGAGAACTAGATATTTCATGCAGAGACACTTACATGCATTATTTTTAGTAAATTTGTTTAATACCAAATATTTGTCTTCCCTGTATGTTTCAAAAATGTTGTTCAGCTGATGTTCCCAAGTGTGTGTGAAGACTATGGTCTTTATCTGTTTTTGTGAAGAAGTGATTTTTTATATTCTTGAAACATGCCTGATTGATACCAGGCTTTAGATAGCTACAAAGATATATGATTTTTCTTTCACCTACAGAATCTCCACAGAGCAGAGACTCCATGCACAGCAATTCAAGAAAGCCTTGATCAATGAGCCTGTCATCAGCCTTGGGTGAAGTAATAGAGAAGCTGATCTGGAGATCAATTGCTAAAGAACACTACAAAAAAACTGATCAATTTGATCTAATGAAAAGTGATTTTAACAAATAGATTGAAGTTAATTATTTGACTAGTAGCAGTTTGCTTATTATGGTATAACACAGCAACATGGCATCAGCATTCTTTAAAGATATTGAAGAGCTGGCAAATGTGGAAAAGAAACACAAACATCTTTTAGATGACTGAAAGAAAGTTTTGCAGTAGGAGGCAGAGAGTTGTATCTGCTTTAATTAACAAGAGAAAGAAATGGAGAAGTAATTCAGGTACAAAGGCCCCTAGTAGGAGAATATACCAGCTACTACTCTAAAACAGTGAAGATATTCCAACAACTGCTGAATGGAAGCTGAAGCCACACAAATTCAGATAGAAAGCTTAAATTTTAACAATTTGAGCAATTAACCTTTGGAACAAACATGATGGAGTCTCCATCTCTTAATGTCTGCAGATTTAAACTTGATACCTTTCCACAAGTTATGCTTTAGAACAAAGTTGTTGGGCTCATTATAGTGATAAATGGCTGATATTTAATGATCTGGAACACAGGAGGTGAAAGTAGAAGATCTCAAGGTCTCTTCTGGATTTAAACTTTATTTCATGATATCTCTGTTAAATTTGGGAGTAAGGACACTAATTAGGGTCAAAGGGGATATTTTGGCCTGCCTGTTCTGGTCAGATTTTTTCATCCAAAACTTAATCATGTGCTTAACAAAACACTAATGTCGGCACTGGTATAAAACAAAAAATAATATAGGATTATGCAAATTACCCTGGTGAGGGAAATAAAAAGTGGGACAACAGCTTTTCTCGTGATTTCGGCATAAGCACCATTTTTTTTTTCAATTGTAGAAGATACCAGCCTCTATTCATTGTCACTGATGTGCTTCTCTGAAATGCTTTAGAATTTTGTTGATCACAGAAATATGTGATTGTGTTAATGAATGCGAATTAATGACTTCACTAACTGGAAGATCAGTGAACAAATGTAAATGACTGTTTGTTTAAGCATAGCTAATGCCATGAACAGTTTTGTTCACCTTCAATTACAGTTCAAGTTATATTTATTATGCCAATAATATTCATGTAAATGTGCAGCGGACATGGAGTAGTGTGATAGTGTGCCAGAATTTAATGTCACCATAGTGTAGTGATACAAAAGGAACTGCACATATTGCACACATAAAATGTGGACAGTATAAGAATTATTAATATTTTAAAGGAACTAATTCAGGGTTGGGATGTTGTTCCTGTTTTACAGGTAGATTTTAGCAACCTGATAAAGTTACCAAGAAACAAGAAATGGCAGAGCCAAGACAAGAACACAGTTCTTCTGTCTTCACAGTGGAACACACTGCCTCACATGGCAGTTTCAAAAAATGGTAAGCCTTTACAATTTGCAAAATGTTACCAAGCATAGGGGGTCAGACTCAGTAGAGGGTTGTAGGGACTGAAAGTTGATCTTCTGAAGTCTAGCATACAATCTAGAAGCCTGAGCAAGATAACTAGCTTCCATATGTAGAGAATCTGTGATCATAACATGATCCAAAGTAATTAACATATTAACTACCAATACTTAGGAACTTCTTTTTTTTTTTAAACTGAGACTATTTAGTCAATAGAAGACTACTAATGATCACAGGTGCAAATAGTGAAACTCCTTTTTCAAACATCTATTTTTTCAGGAAAATGCTTCCTTCTCCTTAAAACACACTGCACTGAACTATTCTTTCAAGACAGCTTTTTACATCATACATTTTCCAAAGAATGAGTGAAACTTGATTCCCACAAGAACTTGCCCTTTCTTCAGTAGTCACTCTGTTACTCATTCAAGGGGTAGTTTTGGATTTAATTCTCTTTCAGCTAGAAGAAAAATAAATTCATTTCTCCACCATGCCAGTAGCATATCTTACAGCTCCACTATTCAGTAAACAATTTAAGATGTAGCAGGATAGAAAGATAACACAGATATAACACAGAGACTGTGGCTTTTGCAGGGCAAAAATTATGTCTGATCTCAAGATGCTGGGTAGCATCTTGAGTGGTAGCTGCAATTTTGCCTTCTGAATGGCCCCATCCTGCTTTTTTTTATGCCCTGAGAACAAAAAACAGAAAGGTCCTTGGGGTACCTAGGTATAGGTGTATTCTGACTTTAAGATCCTGACTGAGTTTAGAGGCAAGTTAAAATGCAGACCCTTTTCAAAACAGTAACCATTTAAGACATGAAGCTGATCTTTGGGCAGGCACATGTTAAGAGCCAACACTTAATCTCTGGTCTCATTAGTTGTATGTTAGGAGAATGAAAGAAAAAGTAACTTAAATGGAAGTTAAGTAAGACAAATAAAGGGAGTTTGAATGGCAGTGAGAGCTTAAGGAGAGGCAATTGGACACCTGAAAGTAACTAAAACTCCACCACTCCATCACTGGACTTCTTGCAATCTCAATCATAATGATTTATGCAATTTAAAAAAAATGTTTCTGCAAGGTAACTGGGTTTCTTGGTTGGAAGTTCTAGTTCAGTGGGTAAGGATTTTCAATAAAATAAGAGGACAACAAGGCATATATTCAAGAAATGGAGAGAGATTTATTAAGGAAGCAAACATTCAATGTTACATTCAAGAAAGAACTGTCAAAAAATTCTTTTCTAGTTCTTTTTTGATTGAATTGGATGTCCTTGACCTCTTTGTACAACATGAATAATGATTCATAACTTCTCTGGTAAAATGCTCATATTTCTACTGTAAAACCAGGCATCCCCACCTAGACTGAGATCCCTGGCTGAGCCTTGCAGCAGTAGCACATGAGCTGGTCTCAGTTCTCCTGCCACAGAGCAAATGTAAATGGACCATTGGCTCCATCATTCTTCACCAGATGATGTGTGGATCCAAGGGAATCCACAATTGCAACTGTTCCTAGATCTGTTAGTTCGTGTGCAGCCTTTAACAGAAAACTTATAAATAATACAGTGCATAAGAAGACAATATGAAACTTAAAGATAACTGGTATAATCTTCCTTCCTTCTCACTCAGCACAAAAGTCTGAAAGATGTGATAAACTTGCAACAGCTAGTCTCAAAGGTGTGTTCTTTCTGGAGAATGTGATCTCATATTGCTAAAGCAGTGCCAAGTGCAGCAGAATTGAACCATGATGAAATCCTTGTCTGGATTTAGAAGTGAGAAAGTTCATGCATGTTCAACCACCAATTGCATGAGATACCATGAAATAATCTCTTTTGCCAGGTTATTAGTGCTCCTGGTTCATGTCCTAGGGTCACCCAGTAACTAGGGTTCTATGATGTAATGGGAGGCTGTGACATCAGCAGTCCAGTGCTGTGTTTGCCAGCTTGAGATGCTAAGCCAGTCACCTCTTTTTTGCTATACCTGTCACGCAGCTGCATCTCATATGAACTCATGTGGAGTTTAAGATTTAAGGCCTGTCCCAGGCTATAAGAAGAGCTCTCTGTCTTAATTTGTCTTCCGTTAATAAAAGATGTCTGAAAAGAAGGATTGTGATAAGGAGAATTGCTCTGCTCTTGAATTGCTGGATTTCAAGAATGCTTTGAAGCAGTTCCAGAAACTAGTTGAAAAAACAGTAATCCAGAAGACAAAGGAGAGATTAGGCTTGTATATCAAAGATGATGGTAAGAGATACTCTTTCTGATGGAAAAGTGTAATTTTCATATGGAGAGAAGGTGTCATTGAGACAAGACTATAAGACAGACCTGAAATTGATGTTCAGACTGTGACTTCTTGCTTTTTACAGGAAATAGGCAGATTGTTCTATGAGACTGATTTTGTCCTCCTGTTAAGATTTTTGGTCAAATTACAACGCTATGGTGATTGCTCACAAAATAGAATTAGTGAAACTGCCACATATACAAGTTAGCACAATGCAGTGTTTCTAGTGATCTGTAAAAGCCCAAACCTGATGAATTCTCTAAATCCAGTTGCTTAATTGTAAATAATGAGGGCAAAGTTTTGCTTTTCTCAATGCAAGTTGCTATTGTTGCATGAAAGAATTAACTTTATTCCAGACACCATTCAAGTTCAGATCAACAAACCAGAATTGTGGGTTGAAAGTAAGGGAAGAAAGAAGAGGTGAGGATTTTTCACTTATTCTTTTATCTATCTGTTTCCTGTCATGCATCGCAAATCAGGTAGTTTTGAAAAGACTGAACATTAAGATTGAACTTTTTTTTTCTTTTTTTTTTGTAAAATGCTTTCGTGAATACGGTGTGAGGAGCCAGAACTTGAATGCTATTGATATTGAAGGAGAAATAAAACAGGAGGTAGGGGAGATAAGGAAAGAAGCTGTATCTTGACAGTTTTTAACTCTGGGTGTATTGTTCTATCGATACAGATGAGATCGACTATGACAAGTTCTATACAACCACACAGATGCTTCTTGGTCCAGAAATCAAGGATCATAATGTTAAGGCCTTTTTCAGGAAGATTTCCAACAATCTTGATGCAAGGACAGAATGGTGTGAGGTAAGATTTCTAAAACCTGATTAAATATAAGCAGCTAATTATAATCTTAAAAGGTAACAGTATTTAGCTGTTGATTATGTATTGTTAATGAGTCTGTTGTTTATGAGCTCCATGGCATAATGGGGCACTCTCATGTTAGTTATCCTGCCTGCCATTCATTTCCTAAAAATAACAATTATTTGGAAAAGAGATATACCTTTGAAGCTAGAAAATTAGATAAAATATATTGGTTTGGTTGATCTAGACAAAAACTATATATAAGAACTGTCTTAATTTATTTGTTGCTGTTATCTTATTCAAGAAGTGATGTTTAATTATAACAAGTTGAAAAGGAAAGAGGCTCCATGTTTAGTGTGATAATAAACAATTTAGAAACTTGCATTTGTCCATTTGTTGGTTAAATGCAAGTTTCCAGGGAAGACGTTTGAAGATAGGAGGGTAAAATCTGTCTTTGGAATTTCTCTTGTGACATTTGAGTGATGATATCCATCCTGCTATAGATCTTGAGAACTGAAGGAGTTTGTAATACTGTAAAAATATAGCTCTTTCTAGCTTGTGTTATTCTGTACCCTATGCTATTATACTTTTAGTTTAAGTAAGGATAATCCTATTCTCCTAGTGCCAAAACCTGGAATGTGAAGCTTGAGCATTGTATCAGTATTCAGTGTACGTGGAAGTTGTAAATACGAAAATAATCCCTAGAGGCATCCCTAACCTATTTCACTAGAGTGAGGAGAAGTTCTGAAGAGGGCCTCCAGTACCTAAAGGGGACCTACAAGAAGGCTGGAGAGGAATTTTTTATAAGGGCATGTAGTGATAGGATGAAGGGTAATGGCTTTAAACTGAGAGAGGATAGTTTTAGATTAGATATAAGGAAGAAATTCTTCACTATGAGGGTGGTGAGGCACTGGCACAGGTTGCCCAGAGAGGCTGTGGCTGCCCCCTCCCTGGCAGTGTTCAGGCCAGGTTGGACGGGGCTTTGAGCAACCTGGTCTGGTGGAAGGTGTCCCTGCCCATGGCAGGGGGGTTGGAACTAGATGGTCTTTAAGGTTCCCTTCAACACAAACTATTCCATGATTGTGATTCTTCCACATCACCATGTCAGTGGAAGATTAAGTATGGAAGACCTTTGCTGAGCCCTGCCTTTCCCACCTTTTTCATGTGGGTAAACAGGTGAGTATTTTGCCAATGACAGAGTTGTCTCTACAAGCTTTTTGCTAAGAGATTCCCTGTACTGGATTTTCTGCTGACTATCTCTGGCTAATTTCAGACTTCTAAATATATCATGCAGAACAGCTTAACACATGGGAGAATCCATGCTGCTAATTCTAGCAGATTCTTAAGAGCAAAATTTGCTCCTACTATGCTGGTTATAAAATCAGTCCAGTAATTTCAGCAAGCAGGACTATTTTTTTATTCCAAATATATATATGATTTTTCTGACCACTCTTTCCAATTTTGAGAGGTATCTGTCCTTATAAAGCCGTGCCACTGGAAGTCTGATTAGAAGGGTTAATTAGAATGAATTAGGTAAAGCCTGGGTAGGTTACAGTTTTATTTGTAGGTGAACTACTTTTCTTTTCTACCCCTACCTGTTTGGTACATCAGCCGAACCTGCAAATCAAAATTCTTATTAAACATTAGTTATGCTACGCTGGTTTACATGAATTGAGGAAGTTGGCCCCTGATCCTTGAGCCTATTATGTATATGCACATGAATACAGCTTAAAGCGTGACCTAAATAAATAAAATCATTTTTCCATCTTGTTTTATGAAAGAGCACTGAGTTGTCTACCAGAACTGCTTATCCTCAAAAGTCTGACATTCTAGATTCCTGACAAGGTAAGCAGGATCTGGAGCCTGAGTCTTCTCCTGTACTGCTTCACTGATATTCATTGGCCTCAGGCTTCTTGACAAAATGCAAAATCTCTTATGACTACAGTATGCAATTTGTGCTCTGAGGATAAGTCTATCTTTTAGCTAAGGCATCAGAAATATCTTTTTTTCTTTCCTCTCTTTTCTCTCTTTCCTCTGCTTTCTCTCCTTCCTCTTCCCCTTTCCACAGAGATAAATCTGGCCTTTACTTTAAGTGTGAGGCATTAGAGGTAGAGCAGCATTTAGTAGAGTGGTTTTAGCCACTGTGTTCTGTATGTATTACGTGAGTCTGTAGATGAGTGAGATCTGTGTAATCTATTTTTCTGTCTCTGGCAGTGGTAAATAGCAAATCTTTGTAAAAAGCATCTAAGAATGAGGTAACTATGAAATAGTAGATCTGGGTTACTTCTAGCTTCTGGCTGTGCATAGTTTAAAGATTTTCTGTGCCAGAGTTGCAACTGCACTCTGTGTTTAGTATCCTTTGATGGATTTTAATCTATCCATTTATAAATTATGTCAGAACCCACCTAAAAAAGGATACTTTCATAGCATTCGAAGTTTTACACATTTTGTAAAAAAGTACTTTGTCTTGTTGTTTTTAAACTTGGTGCCTTTTTTTTTTTTTTCGCATGTGTTACAAGAAATTCTGAACCCTTACTCTAGAAAAGTATCTTTTAAGGTATTTTCCCATGGATAGTGTTTCAAGCAACTCTTTTGTAAAAATGACTGATTTTTACATTGTTTGAGCCAATCTGTATCAAGAGCATCCATCGTTATATGTTACTGCAAGATTTTTGTTTGTTTGTTTTTTACCTGAAGACAGCACCACCTGTGCTGTCTAGGAAAGTTACTGTGTACTCCAAGTTATGTTCCCCAGATGGGGGTTACACAGTAACTTTCCTATGATAGCATAGGTGGCACTGCCTTATATAGCAAGTCTTTGCTGGACTTAAAGTCATAAGGTAACAAGTGTCATGAATTATAAATTCATTAGCATATTCCCATTTTATTTACACTGGAACACTGCATTATTTGAACCTTGAAGATACCCAACGCTCATTCTTTACATGTTATCAACGATTGCTATCAAGTGATTTACTAATACCATCCTAAACACAATGTGTTTGGTCCTTTCAATTAAATAAGGTTCTGTATATGAATAATCTGATTAATACCTCTCTTAACATTGTTTTTACTTATAATGTCACATTACTCACAAACTTTTCTTATGTCAGACAGTAAAGATTTTTTCAAGGAGGGCCTAGGGGAAATCTGTGAAACAGCTGTAGAGGACATCAAACAATATGTAACTGCCTTCTAGTGAACTTGCCTATGAGCCCTCTTTAACAGATAGAACTTTAGGCTACATCCAATTCCTCTGTTATTAAGTTCGCCTTATAAGAGGTAAAAAATTTTTTTATCTTTTCATGTCTCCTACTTGCATGTCATCCCTTCTTCCTTCCTTCCTCCCTCTTTCACCGTGAGAAGATACTTAAAGGTGAGGTCCTGGCTTTTCTCAACATTTCTTTGAAAGTTTTTAAAAATAGGGGGAAAAAAAAAACCATTTCTGGATTTGCTGGTACATGTAATACAAGCTAAGCTATTGAAATGGCCAACTGCCATCAGACATGCTGACATGACAGCACCAGTCAAGTTGTTGTACTAATCAAAATTCTCTACCTCATTTCAAACTTCTTACTTCTTTTTGTATGGGATTGGAGAGAAGTGATATAATATCTTGTGCAGATGTGGCAAGCTAGACACATATCCTATACAGAGTAAGATATACTCTATGGGTATGAAGCAGGGACCAGCTTAGAAAAGTACTTCTGAATTCATGATGACTGTCAGACTGACAGCCCTTTGTTTAGGGAAGCAGAACAGTAGCAAATTATGTTGAGGGCCATTAGTTTATAAGAGAACTGAAAAAAAGTTCTGTTTGTTTGCTGGAGTGAGTATCTTTTACTCCAAAACCTTATTTGAGTTTCCAGTGCGATCAGGCTAGTTATTTGCATTACATAATTACACAAGCAAGCACAGTATGGGGTCTAACAAAAGAGGTGAAGCCCCTTTGGTTTCCTTATGAAATCTGTGTAGGTTTTGCCTGTGATAAAATTCCTTTCTAGAGCATTCCTCAAATTTTATCGTGTGAGCTGACTGATGACAGCCTTTTAAAATGCCGCGTATATAAACTTTCTTGAAAAAATAGGTGTGTGGTATTCAATGAATCTTCAGCATCTCACAGCATGCATTTCATGTAGAAGAGGGATATCAGTGAGACTACACTGAGTTCTGTAGGGTATGAAATAGAAATATTTGTTATTTCTCTGTTCAAAAGAATCCTGATTAAAGTGTTAATGTGGGTTTTGTATTTATTTTATCTTGTGGGGAGAAATATTTAACATAAGGTAACTGGTAATCCATGATGAAAGTGATAATTCAGTTATGGAACAGACAAAGATCGGACTACTTGAGTCAACTTCAATCTGACATTGATATCTTTACCTTGACACAGCCTTATGTATCACTGTTTGAAATATAATGCTGCATTGAAAAGTGACAGTGAGTTTTTCACTTTTTTGGTTTCCTTCTGTTTAGTGGGAATTCTGATGGTGATATGTATTACAAGTTATCTATACCTTATGGGACTTAAAGCTAAGCTCCTTTCCAGACAAAAGCATAAGATTTCTTTTATGGGTAGTCTGGGTATAGAGAAAGATGAAAACTGAATTAAGAAAATGACTCCTGGAATTCTCCAGATTTAGCATACACTGAAACAGAATAATTGCTGCATTGATTATTTGATTGTTGACTAAACCCAATTTACATCAACCATAACTTCAGCATCAACTTTTGATCTACTGTAATTGTGGTAATATCCTGTATGTAATGATTGGATCAAAACAGATATTTCCAGGCTTATTTGAATGGGTTTTAATAAAATAAAATGGGAATGGTTTATATCCTATATATTACATGGTGGTGGTCTTTTAAAAATTTATTTCTCTGACAAACTACAGTTTCAAAATGGTTTGGGTAATCCTGGAGAGTTACTGATGGTCAGGAAGGAGCCAGTGTTCTTTGTTCTTCTAACTATGCCACAGGCTTACAAGTGTAGCTGTACTACACCTCTAAAGTCTCCTCATCTCTTTTTCACCTCTTGACATTTAAAGATGTACACAATTACTTACTGGTGAGGATCATAGATCCTTTTTTTCTTCCACTCATATCTGTAGGTCTTCCACTTTTTAAAGTTTTTTAGCTTTATGTTGACTCTATTTAACATTTGACCAGCCTAAGTCTTTTTTCTCATCCTCCTTAGCTTTTCATTCCTTTTAAGTGAAACTTTTCTTTTTCTGGAAAAAGAAAAAAGGGAAAATCTGCTCCTTTACATGCTTGAAATGGTAATTGGCTTTTTAAGACTGGAAAGTATTCTAAGTATTCTAGTTGAGACCAGCTGTTGTTTGAGACAGATGGGGAAAGAGACAGATATGCCTCCCTTAGCTGATACATTTATTCTTATAATGTTTAGCAACCTACTAGTTATGTTAGACAAATCACATTTATAACTGCAACTGGACATATCATTAATTACCCACTGTGAACAATGTAAGTAACCTTGATTTTGCTTCATCTTCCTTTTTATCACTTAATTTTTCAAATGTATTATTGATAACAGTTACTTTCTGTAACATCCTAAATACCCATCATGGTTTCTGCTGTCTGTGCTTCAGTCTTCTTGTTTTTTCTAAAAGGACTGTATTTCATCCTTGTTCTTCTGAGTTCCCCTGCTGCTTCTGGCACTGCTGAGCATGCCCTCAGTCTTGCAAGTCAAGTTGCTTTGTTCCTTTGATATTTCTCTTCTATCATCTCTGTCTCTGTCTCTCTCTCTCTCTCTCTCTGCTCCCCATTCCCAGAACTCTATCCCTGACCCTTTGTTCCTCTCTCCCTACTCTCACAGACCTAATTTTTTCAAATTTACTTCTATATATCTGGCCTCTCTTTAGCTTGACAAAATCTTCCAAAGATACTTCCATGACCTAAAAGATCATGGCCTTGTGTAAGTGTTCCTATTTCTTTATCTTCATGATGTTTCTCTTTTTCAAGTACCTCCATGTTCAAGGGTTTTCTAAGTTTCCAGCAGTCTCAACAAGAGTATATCCATACTCAAAGACACTTTTTTATTAAAGTTTTTAGTTTAAGAAGTCTTTAGTTAACTAATTATAGTTAAATTAGATTCTACCGTTAGTCATTTAATGGCTTCAAAATTTAAAAGACCAATCCTGGACAGTCTTAACAGCTATCATTTATCAATGACTAGGGAAACTGACTTCTGCATCTCTTTCCCAAATGTAGTTGGCACTTTCAAAGCTGTATTTTTATAGTGGCAAATATCTGAAAGATGTATAAATTGCATTTTGCTTCATCTTCTATGTCAACCTCTGATGGACATTATGGGATGGGGTTTGCTGGGATCCCATCTCCATGTTGGAGTCAGCACAAACCATTTATGCAGCTGTAAGGGATTTCTAAGGTGCCCTTTCTTTGGTCAGTGTTTTGCCTGCTGGGCAAAAGCAAAAGATCAGATGTGGTACCGCCTCATGTCTACAGGAGGCATGACAAGACACACCTAGGTGTCTCACTGAGAACTTCCACCTCTGTTGGCTTTAGGGCAGCTACTGGCCTAGCTCAGCAACTGCATTCAGCATCCTGTCAGGACACAGGAGTGACCTGATACCAGGTCACTCAGTCGTAAAGAAAAGGTCCTCCCACCAAAAGCTTAGTCCCCATAAAGGTGAAGGGCCTGTTCTCCACTGTCTGAAAAATAGAAACATACAGTTAAGAAAACAAAATGTCAGTCCTGTCTTCAGTAACAACAAGAGAAAGGATCCATGGAAGTACAGGACAACTAGCCTTGCCTTGGTTCTTAGCGAAGGTGATGGAGTAACTAATTCTGGAAACCATTTCCAAACACAGGTAGGACAAGGTGATCAGGAGTAGTCAGCATGGATTTACAAAGGGGTAATCAAAGAAATCATACTTAACCAACCTGATAGGATTCTACAGTGAGGTGGCTAGCTTGGTGGGTAAGGGGAGAGCAGTGGATGTGGTTTACCTTGACTTCAGTAGGGTTTTTGACATTGTCTTCTGTAACTTGTAGGCATGCTGACAAAGTATGGGTTAAATAAGTGGTCAGTGAGGTGGAAAGAACACTGTCTGAACCCATAAGTTTTAAAAAAACAGTTGAAGGCAAGTCACTAGTGGTGTATGCCAGGAGTTGATACTGGAGCCAGTATTTTTAACATCTTCGTTAATGACGTGGACAATGGGAGAGAGTGCACCCTCAGCAAATTTGCAAATACAAAACTGGAAGGAGTGGCTGATACACCAGAGGGTTGTGCTGCTGCCATTCAGAGGGACCTCAACAGGCTGGAGAAGTGGGCTGACAGGAAACTCATGAGATTCAACAAGAGAAGTGCAAAGTCCTGCACCTAGGGAGGAAGAACCCCATGCACCAGTTTGCACTGGTGACAGACTAGTTGAGAAGCAGCTCTGCACAAAAGACCTTTGGTCCTTTGAACATGAGCCAGCAATGTATCCTTGTAGCAGAGGAGGTCAACAGCATCCTAGGATGGCTTAGGAAAAGGATTGCCAGCAGGTCAAATGTGGTGATCCTTCCTCTCTGTTCAGGTCTTGAGACCACACCTGGAGTACCATGTCCAGACCTGGGCTCCCCAGTACGAGAGAGATATGGAGCTACTGGAGCAAGTCCAGTGAAGGTCTATGAGGATTAGGGGGCTGAGGCACCTCTCACATGAGGAAAGGTTAGGATACCTGAGACCATTTAGTCTGGAGAAGACTCTTAATACTGTGTGTAAATACGTACTGGGGAGAAAAGGAAGAAGAGAGAGACCAACTTCATAAGAACCACTGACAGGACAGGTTGGATGCAGCTCTGAGCAAGCCAATCTAGTTGAAGATGTCCCTGCTCATTGCAGGGGGGTTAGAAGAGATGACATTTAAAGATCCCTTCCAACCCAGACTATTCTATGATTCTATTCTATTCCGTGATTCTAGGGCAAGAGGCAATGGGCTCAAACTGAAACACATTAAATTCCATTTGAACACAAGAAATCACTTTTTTACGATGAGAGTGATCAAACACTGGAACAGTTTGCCCAAAAGTTTGTGGAGTCTCCATCCTTAGAGATATTCAAAACCCAACTGGGCACGGTCCTGGGCGTTTTGGTGTAGCTGACCTTCTTGTACAGGGAAGTTGGACTAAATGATTGCAAGAAGTCATTTTCAACCTTGTGACTTTGTGATTCTGTAACACTGTCTTTGTATTGTAGGTGCAAACCTGTTACAAGAATATTCATTGATGATAGTGGAAAGAGTACATCCTTGATTTTTGGGGGGAAACACTCCATTGTTCTAAGCCACACCAATTCTTTCAGAAACCTTGTACTTAATACTAAAGAACTGGGGCATTCAGGTGGAACAGTGAGAATCAGCTGTGAGTGAAAATGCTGTAATGTGAAAAGCAGTTAATATGTATTACCACTTCTCTATTCATGTGTGAAGATTATGTTATTATGACTTTGCAGAAGGAGCATACACCTAGAATTTAGGATACTAAAAACCTTGTATCCTGTCTTGATACAGGATGGAAAGACAAGGTGATATTACAGAAAACTAGAAAGATGTATGTAAGGAGCTATAATAGATGATATATTGGCTGATGATGTGTGATAGATAATAATTGTGTGCATGGTAAGGAGGGAACTATGAAGTGAAGGATGAAAAGTAATGTTGTATAAGAATATTTTTTTTAAAGATGTACATCTGAATCTCTCAAAGAAGAAATATGGGAGTTCTGTTGCATGCCATGAAAAATATTGAACTAGAAAAAAGTGCAACATTTTGTCTTGCATCCAAAGGGGCATTGCTTTTGGAACTCAAGAAAGAAGGTATATATAATGTCCATAATATAAGAAAGGAGAATAAAAAATCTGTACAGCTGAGTGGGGCTGAACTAATTACCTGAGGAAATGACTGACTTACTGTTGGGTACAGAGTTTGAGCTTTGGGGAGCATTTCAGCTGAGTGACTGTCACATCCTGGAATAGAAATGAGCTACTTGCCTGAATATCCTGTGTAGGGATGTCCATCAGTACAAATGGAACATTGCCAGGCTTAGGCAGATGGCAGAAAAACAATTTTTAAAAATGGACTTTATATTCAATTTTTTTTGAGGCAAATGGGAATCTACATAACTTTGTGGAAAAGCTCTTCTTCTGTGCAGGCTAAACCACTATGCTACTTTGAGTCTTTCAGTTTATATAGAGAAGTCTGTTTTGTCTGCCTTTTACTGTCAGCTGAGGTCTAGCTGAGAAAGCACAAGTAGATAAAACTGGAAAAAGGAAAATGAAGATTATTATTTACAAACAAAAATCATTGCAAGGCAAAGCTGTAGTAACGGCTCTATCATTTAGATGATTTTTATTCCTAGAAGCTCTGTGTATGCTGTCTTCTTTCCAAAAATTGAAGAAAGATTGTGCCTGAGTAGCAGATCTCAGCAATCTAAAGTTACAGGTAGCTAATGGTTAAGGCAAATAATACTAGGAAACTTACTCAAAGAATATTAAATGATAAAAATGTGAGGCAAACACATATTGCAGAAGTAGTTTTGTTATGAATTGCTTATTCTGTCGTATTTTGTTCTGTTTAGATTTTTGGGTATTTCATAGGAGAAAGTGATGCCATGTCTTCCCAGCTGAAAGAAGAAAACATGGTTTTCCTTGTATCCGAAAAACAGCGGGTTACTCATGCAGGTGATGTACTTCATCTATTTTGTTTTAATGCTGTGTGTTGCACACTTTATGTACAGTAAGAAGTTCACATGTCTGTGTTTATTATTCATGCTTCTTCTTCTTACATGTTCCAGAATATATGGTTTCTTCTACAAAACTCATTGCATATGAAGAGTCCACTGTTGCCTTGCCCAGTTCTCCATTTTCCTAAATTATTTTGAAATTATGAATTTGTCTGACTCAGACTATTTATTTATGCAGTTATTCTTTGCCTTTTTTAAAAAAAAATAATGTAGAAAGAACTAGCACGTCCATAACGCATTCATGATATTTAAAAATGCAACATGATTATTTAAAACAAGTATAGAATAATCTGTGATATGATGCATTATTGCCTTGGAGTTGGTACTGATATGCATTTCAGGAAGATAAAATATTGTTGATATTATGGTTCTATTTGTTTAGTTTTTCTATGTCTGTAAGATGAAGAGTAATATTTTGTCATTGACAGTTGTCAAGAGACAAGATGTGATTAAGGGTATAGTGAAGGTGCCCCATCTGGATTTCACAGTAACATCCTCTCAGAAAGGAGTGCTAACTATTTTTCACAACCAGGTAATTCTGACTCAAACAAACTTTTTTATTATTCCATTAAGCAGTATATATGGGAACAGAGTGAATTGTGATCTAGCATGCAACTTACTAATAAAAAAAAGCTAAATAATTTTTAAAATTAAAGTTAACTTTTTCTATATTTTTTAGGTACAGCTGCAAATACGCATTGTTATTTTCAATTATAAACCTACTGAACAGTCCACAGAAGTCAACAGAAAGTAGAGATGTCTAATAAGACATTCTTAAGTTAGTTTAATAGAAAATAACATGCACTTCTTTTTAGAAAAAGTTTCCCTTAATACAAAATATGCTATTGGAATTAACTTCTGCATATACAGTGGCAACTAGATGATTAACTATTTTCTACAGCTACTGAGAATATCTGGAATGGACAGAAACATTTATCAGCTGTTTGCAAAGAAGAGTTATTCAATACAGCAATATCTAGAAGCCTGAAAGTCTTGTATTTTCTGACAGTCTGCATGACACTGCTTCACAGTTACTCCCCTTATCAGCAAACTGTAAGGAGAACTGTAATCTGTGCCATTTTAAGTAGAAGTTCAGGCTCAAGATGCTGTTAAAGTATAATTTGTAAATGAGTCCCCCAGATTATTTTATTACTATTCAGGGGCATGCACTTCTAGATGCTATGGGGTACATCATACATCCATGCTCATTGGTGCTTTACATTTGTACAATTTGAATACAAGCAGTTTATTAAAAATTGTTTCAGACAATGTAGTAAAGCATTAAAGCAGCACTAATGCTTTCTAGGGGTTTTAGCTAATTACTGCATAATGCTTATGCCAGGAACATGTAAAGCAACAAAGGACTCCCATGGATGATTAAACAACAAAGCAGTATGGCAGTTTTGCTAAATACTGAAATAATTTATTTAAAAGCCTAGTTCTCTGTTCTCCAGAGCATTATCCCTCTTATGTACCTAAAAAAATAATTTCATAAAGTATAATGTTAAAACCAACTCTCTTCCCCACCCCCTACCTCCCCGTGCTGTTTTCAAGTTGAAAATTACTGCTTCTTGATAGACTGGACTGATGTCACTCTGACATCAGTGACTGCAGTGTAAATGATTTTACACCCAGCTGCTTAATGCAGTGAATTAGAGACCTCAAACTTCACTTATAAAACTATGTTCTGAAAATGACTAAGGCATGACGACGGCAGTCATTTACTTATGATCTCTGATCGCAGTTTGTCTGAGCAAACGACTTTTGACTTCATTAGAATTGCTCTGATATATCTTGATGCAAGAAAAACTAGTTCTTTAGCATTGCAGTCATTTGAGTCCTGTTGCTAGAATATGACTTCACATCACAAAAGCAAATACAGAGTTGGCAACTTTTGCATCATTCTTCTCCCAAAGACCAAGGATTTAAAGAGACTGAGCCTTAAAATCTCATCTGGGGAGCTGTTTTGTCTAGCTTGGCTTTGCAGCATATTGGTAAGGGAATATGAAGATGCTGCTTGGTAGGACTTGTGCCCTGGGTTGAGGTGCCAAAATATAAGTTCATGAGCAGTGCATTGACAAATAGACAGAGAGGCTTATTTTTGTTTAACTGTTCCATTTTTAGGACTATTAAACATATGGTATTCTTGGATGCACAGATATTCCAGAGAAGTCAGTGTGGGGCTGTACCTCAAATAATTGTGTTCAGTTTTGGGCCCTTCACTACAAGAAAGATCGAGGTGCTGGAGCATGTCCAAAGAAGAGCAACAGAGCTGTCTGGAGAACAAGTCTTGTGAGGAGCAGCTGAGGGAACTGGAGTTATTTAGCCTGAAGAAAAGAAGGATCAGGGGAGACCTTATCACTCTCTACAACTACCTGAAAGGAGGTTGTAGTGAGGTGGTTGTTGGTCTGTTCTCCCAAGTAAGAAGTGGTAGGACAAGAGGAAATGGCCTGAAGTTGCACCAGGGAAGGTTTAGATTGGTTGTTAGGAAAAATTTCTTCACTGAACAGGTTGTCAAGCATCCAAACAGGCTGTCCAGGGAGGTGGTTGAGTCACCATCCCTGGAGGTATTTAAAAGATGTGTAGATGTGGTGCTTTGGACCATGGTTTAGTGGTGGACTCGGCAGTGTTAGCTTAACCGTTGGTCTTGATGATCTTAACAGTCTTCTGCAACCTAAATGATTCTGTGATTCTATTTGAGGGCTAAGCATTGCTTTCTACAAGTGTGGACCTAATATGCTTCAACACCTGTATGCAGCTCTGCATTATCAGCCATTTCCTGCATACTCTAGAACATGAGATACCCTTTTCAGGTTCTTAGGCATGGATGCTGCCTTGATTAGCACGGAAGACCTGTAGGAGTAGGCAGCCTTAAGGAAAATTATCTGTGCACACCCTAGTTAATGTTACTGTAAATAAAATCAAACCTGGATATTAAACTCCTGGTTCATAATAGTTTTAAACTTTGCTCAAAGCCAGTGTCCATGATGACACTGAGCATCACACTTCTATGGGAAGATTTTGATCCTAGCTTCTTGGTTTATGAAATGTGGAACTGCTGGGATGAGGCACCACTGATTAATTACTAATGAGGGATAGGGGCAAGAGCAGATGAAAAAGCGGCTGTGGGTGTTTCAGAAGGGAAAAGGTTGAAAGTGCTTTTGAAAACTGGATAGTAGTTTTGTTAAAGGACAAAGAAGGTAACCCTGTCTCTACTGGATGATGGTGACAGGTATGCCTACCACCCTGTCATTGAAACACTTCAGCTTTTGAGTCACATTTAATGGCATTAGTTGACATGTCATCTGGGACAGCATTATCTTGTGTTTCTGTATGACACATCCTAATTCTTACAGGAGTTGAAGCTGTTCTAGCTGTGCAAGACCATTAGACACACAATTCCATCAGAAGAACAGATGATCTGTACTCCACTGTAAAAAATGGGTATTTTTTTACTTATTTTGTTCACTACAAACTCTCAATTTGAAAACAAACAAACCCAACCAACAAACCATGAAACAACTGTGAGAGGAAAAAAGGTTTTAAGTTCCTCACTATGTGTAGAGGAACAGGTAGTAAGTAGGTTAAAGATCTTTCTCAGAAGATCTTAACTGCAAACTCTTTCTGTTGGCTATTATTGTTCTGTTCTACCTGTGATACAGGAGAGCTGGCTGTGTTCAGACTTCTAATTTAATTGCTAACTTCTTGTTACAACATATTTTTGTTTTTTTTCAGATGACGGTTCTGGCAACGATTAGTGTTGAAGTAAGTTAATTATCCTCCTTCTGTTAAATCATTTTAATTAAAAGTCAGCAGGTACTAAAGTGAAATGATTAGAAACTGAACATTATTCTAATGCTACTTTGAACCTTGAGACTTGTGCATAATTTGTCATAGGATGCCGTAGGTCAAACAGGTTCAATTTATTCCTTTCAGTTATAGAAACCATTGAGTAACTTGATTTCTTTCCTCTGATAAAAAGAAATCTCAGATAAATGCTGCTTTTTCTACCAAATTCTCCTTTACCCATTACCTTCCCAGAATTTTTTCTTCTAAGATCCAGCACTTCAATTGTCACTGTAAAACTTAAATAAGAAAAATTAAAAGTTCATTAGTGAAAAGCAGTTCTGCATCTTGTTAAGTAGATTGGTTGGCTACACAGTATATACTTTAAAAGCTCATTTTTACCCTGGGAGTGTCACTGCAGATTTTAATGAGATAATGAGCTTCCTTCAGATGACCTGCAGACAAGAGAACTGTCATCAGTCTTAACAAAATGACATGATCTCTTGCCCTAAAAATCCATGTAGGTATATTGTGCTGGGGGCAGTGCATTTTATTGATTATGTCTTAGATATTGTAGATATTCTAAAATGTAATAGAAGTACCACAGGCCTTACTACAACTCAGAAAACAGCTCTGGGCCTGTTGCATTTAATTTCTTGCAAGGAGTAACCCAACCTGTGAAATGAATGCAGAGAGGTAAACGGTGAGAAACATTCTTGGGGCCTATCAACTTTTTGAATATTTGACTAGAATCAGCTTAGAGCTTCTCCTACAGCTGTGTTACAGGAGTGAATTTTAGTACTTTCTTCCTGCATTGTTTGTAGGAACAGCTTCCCAAGTCCAAATATGTATGCAAAGGTAGGATCAAAACAATGTCTAGTGCTTGTCCCCAGAGATGCCAAGGGGACAAGCTGGAAGAAGCTGAAGCACCAGCCTGATGCAGTAGGCAGCATGTGGCTTCAGGGTCCTTTTCCTCTCTGAGAGCTAAGCACCGATCTTAGGACCAATTCCTCAAGTGGATATGGAGGTCTTTTTGCTGTGGCTGTAGGATGATACTTGGCAGCCATGGCAGAATTAGGCACTGTGAAGGACATCTCTGCCATAAAAAGTGTGAAAAGAGGATATGTGTAACGTAATGGTATCTCCCACAATTGTAAGGATTGTGACTCCAAACAAATACAATACCGAAACTGGTAGTCTTAGTATCCACAGACAACACTGGTTAGTATCTGTAAGCACCCACTTCTGGTCAGCTCTGCACCAGATCTGTGTGGCCTAGCCTGATCTGCTGTCTCTGTTGTTAAATGCCACTCTCCTGTCCTTTCCCAGCTGAGATGTGTCCACTTTTCAAGCCTTCCCTGGGGAAAGGAAGAAGTTGATTAGAAATGGTTTGGATTTCTTCCCTTTGGGATGGAGGATCATTGCTGCTGGGGATCACTGGATCAGTTGGGATCATTCCTGCTGAGAATAGCAATCTCTACCATAGGGTGGAAGGTCTTTCCAGGGGGAAAGTCTTTGGCTTCTCAGGGACATTTAATTGACTGGAGAGCTGATGGTTAGTGAAGAGAAAAGAGAAACCCATGCCCTTATAAAATCCTTCTGGCTCTTTGTCTGACAGATTTAATAGTATTTAGTGATGCCATGTTACTTCTGTTACTGTTATATTCACTTTTTTTTGTAGCAGGATTGTGACATTTTCAGGCGGTCTAGTTAAAAATTACTCTCTTCTGCTTTGTGCTCTGCCATGTCTTAGGGAATAGGCGATCTTGCCTAACATTGTTAAGTGTTTGCACTGAACAGTCTTGTCCTTAGCCAATTTACATTCTTCTCATTCTTCCTCTAACTACTGCACTGAAAATGGCTATTACTGGGCTTGAGGTTCCTGAACTTTTTGATGGTTGTTAAAAGATTTTGATGCTTGCAGAACATAATTTAAGCTATTTTGTTCTTAAAATTGAAATTCTGTATCTTTATCCCAAAATGCAATGTAATAAAATTCTGGATTTTTTTGAGATAATAAATGCCACTTTGCAGACAATTGAAATGTATGATGCTATTAAGTTTATTAACTTGGGAATTCTTTGAGAGATATATCTCTAGAATTGGTTCACAGTTTTTCTATTGTAAAGCATGCTTATTAAAACTGAAGTGTTATATTTTAATAGCTTTTATCTAAACATTTATTAAAAATCAAAGGACAATATCTTATGTGAGTGTGAATCATCACTCACCATTTACTTATTAAAGATTCGGTGAACTATACTAGTTGAAATTCTGAATACCTGAAGAGAGAAAGATGCCTTTGCCTTGCAAGGCTTGCATTTCTTTTTCTTTGAATCTGTAGAAATAACAGTCCATTCTTTTCTCACTACAACTATTATGCCATTTTCATCAGTTTTAACATTATCATCAATACTGGCATTAGCTAATTGATCAAGCTATATATTTGTATACATCTTTGTGTAAAAGAATTGAGGTACTGAATTCAGAGACAAGTTATCAGACTCCAAACTTTTCACCTGTTGATAAACAATGAAGTGTGTAGAGGGTGGCTAACAAATTGCAGAACAGTCCTGAGGTTCCTCTACCTTCTTCCATTCAGTGCTCTCATTCTTAAGATATTTCAGAACAGAGACTTACTCAGCCAGAGTGACAGGTCTTGACTCTGAAGATACTGAGCCAGAAAGGCTGTGAAACATAGTAGTTCTGAAAGTAAAATCCAGTGGACTAGAGCCATTGGAACTTTCCCAGCATCATGATGGTATAAATGGAACATGGACTGTGAGTACAGATAATTTCCAGTTTTGTCCAGGGATGTTAGGGAGAACAGGTCATTTCAAGAAAACCTGAATTCATTTTTTGATGGGATTATGTGACTGAGTGAAAAGAATAGAGGCATAAATATAACATACTTAAAACTCTGTACAGTATTTGACTTAGTACCGTATAACTTTCTGTTTTAAAAGATAAACACTGAGAAATCCACTAGAGTGCATGGGTTAACAATTCTCCAGCTGACAGGTCCCAAAAATAGTAGTTAGCATAGAATCATTGAATGATGATGGGAATACTGGTAATGAACAAGTCACTTCTCTTGAAGAATGGAAATGAAATGTCAGTTAAATGTAGCACAGAAAAGCATAAACAGTGGATGAGCCAGACAAGCTGAAACAGAAACTGTATCGAAAATGAGGGAGTGAAGATAAAGCCCTTGAGTGACAGGATGAAACAAGGAAATAATGAAAAGGTTGATCTGGTGCAGCTGCCTTGTTTGTCTGTCAAGTATGGCAGCGCTAAGAAGAGAAATTCTTACGGCCTTTGCTCTAAAGCTGCAACTAGGCAGCTGTTTGGCTTATATTCTCTGGCAGACCTCAGCCACTTCTCAGTGTATCAAATTAATACATTAATTTGTGCATTGCTGTCTTCAGGACTTTCATAGTATTAGTTTCTGACTAGTCTCAAGCCACACCAAGACCCTGTTCGGGTCAAGAACTTTCATTTTTGATCTTAAAGATAGAGCACCATTCTCTGCTGTTTACACAGCCTCTTTATTCCACAGCCTGAGGTCCTTGAACAAGAACTGGCCTGGAAGGCAGTGCCAGCTGACTTGAAAAATATCTCTCTCTGTCAGGCTCTAAAACTTCTCAGTGGACATTCTCCTGAGCATGCTATGCAGGAAGCCAAACTCAGTATTGTGCTCTCTCCAGGCCTTTATAAGCACTGATGTTTGTTGAAATTTAAGTAAATTCACTGGAATTATTAAAGACAAATTTAGTGCAATTTGGTCTAGTCTTAAGATGAGAACAAACCAGTTGTATACATGAAAACACTTCTATTGCTGCCTGTTCCAGGAAATTTTAATTTCTCTATGCTGGATCTTTCCCTGACTGCAACTACTAATAAACTGGTTCAATAATCACTTTTTTTTTCTGCTTTTGCTGTTATGTTATCAATATGACTGTGCCTATAAATAATGCAAAGGAAAGAAGAGGATAAATCTGGAGTACTTTTTACTAATTCTTGCTTTCTGCTGCCATATACAAATTGCATGTCACATGTTGAAGCCTGATTTTTTCAGATACTTTTGTAGACTGCCTAAGTAATTAGAAATATATATCTTCTAGAGAGGAGAATCTTACAAGAGAAATTTTGTCTTGGCTAGCGTTTTCCTCCTATTGGAGTGTTCATTGCTTCCCTACCTATGTCTTTCTGCTTTCACTCAAAAGTTCATTGCAGTCCAGATGCAGTAAGGAAAAGTTGAATCTGTATACCATATGGTTCTATTTGTATGTGTATTAGACATAACCTGATGTGTGTAGCCTTTGTATAGATCTTGTAAAAAAACTTCATATGAACACACGTTCTTATTTACTCTTCAAGCCAGAAGTGGTTTTAATGCTTCTTAGGTTGCAATTTCTGTCAGTTTTTCTCTCCTTTTTAGTGAAATAGTATCTTGATGATAATCATGTCTCTAAGCCAGTGGATGCTACAATACAATGGCTAGGATGCTTCACTGGAAAAGAAAGATCAAGCTCAATTTTGACTGGTTTTTAAATGTTTACTTAACTCCAAAGAGGCTTTTCCCTCAATGAATTAGAGGATAGAGCGGTTCCTATCTGACCACTAAAAATGGTCAGAACAGAAGGCAAGTGTTATTCCAACATTTGTTTCCCTTTCAGTGCTAATTCTTTAGGGGAGTAATAGTTCTCAACCCTATGAGAGAAGGATTTTCCCTGAGAACATGCTAAGTTTAAGGTACCTTTGCGTGCCAATGCATGGGTGCATGTTCCTTGTTTCATTTGCCTAGAGACTAACTACTACCAAGTTCTTGTTTGACAGTCTGATTTTCTAGTCACAGATACGGTGACAAGAGAGAGCAGCTGAAGCCCATGCTTATACCCTGTTTGGTGGCTCAGCATCATTAGCTACATGGCAAGAATAATGAGAGAGAAACTGATATCTAGAATTGCCTAATAAAGCTGGAACCAAAGTTATTCTGTAGAACGGTGGGAAGCAGACATGACTAAGGCCCTGTAGAATGTAAGCGCATGGGCTGAGACTCCAATGTAATTAAGAAGCTAACTAAATTTTGTGAAGTTTAGTTGCTTAGTTGTGGAAAGTTAAATGTTTTTCATTTTTTCTGGATGTGAAAGGTTGAATCCCATTTATCTGTGCATATGAAAATCTACAATATATTAATTGACTCCAGTGACTATATCAGATTTTCAAAGGGGCAAAGTGTCCCTGGCATCTGTTTCTATCATCAGTGAGAAGGGGTCTAGCTTTCTCTTTAGTTATTCCATCCTGTGGAAAGGCCTTTGACCTCAGCTGAAAGAAAAAAATGTCTCAGTGTCAGCTGCCAGCACCCAATAAATACCCATTTTTACCTGCAGGTAGACCTTCACAGGCTGCTGAAGAGGTGCCCTATAACTCCTTCAGGAGAGTAAACTTTCATAGTAGGCCTTGAGGCAAGGCAGAGGTTAAAGGAAAACATTTGCTCTTTGAGACATTTAGAGAACTGTAACTCACTGTAAACTCTAGCTCACTGCTGGACATGCGGACATCATTGTTCTAGTATTTTGCTTAATTCCTCTGTTAGAATTAATAAATTGTGCCCTGAGAGAAGAATAGCCCCTGCCAGCCCAAATGACTACAGCCATTTTTGATCTGTCTTATGTTCTCAAAGTATTTAAATTTGACCTTCAGTATGGGAAAACAAAATAATAGCCTTGAGCTAACATGCCTAAATGACGTTTAAGTATGATGAAGACATTTCCCTTGAGTTGCAAAGCTAACATCTAACCTTTCCCACTCATTTTTCCTTAACTGTTATGAGCCATCTGACTTTCTTCTGTCTTCTAAGATTATCCTCATGGGTTATCTGAGTTGTTTCTCCCAAATAGGAGAGAAATACTTTGTGTTCAGGTCTGGTGAGTCCCCTCTCAAGGCATACACTGACTGACTTGGAAAGATTCAGTTACTGAGACAGCATATGTGGGGGACAGAACTTTTCATAGGAGGTGGCATTTGATCTGTAAAAAAGGGTTAGTCATGCTTTCTCAGATCACTGTCTAGTAATACGATTTGGGTTTTTTAATTGTTTCAAAGTAGTATCAGAGATTCTTGGTTGTATTTCTAGGCAACTATATGAAATAAAGTTTTTGGTATCGATGATTTAAGTCACAGAATCACAGAATCAACTAGGTTAGAAAGGACCTTGAAGATCACCTAGTCCAACCATTAACCTAACACTGACAGTTCCCAGCTACACCATATCCCTCAGCGCTATGTCAGCCCGACTCTTAAACACCTCCAGGGATGGGGACTCCACCACCTCCCTAGGCAGCCCATTCCAACGCCTAACAACCCCTTCTGGAAAGAAACGCTTCCTAATATCCAGTCTAAACCTTCCCTGGTGCAACTTGAGGCCATTCCCTCCTGACCTATCACTTGTTACTTGGTTAAAGAGACTCATCCCCAGCTCTCTGCAACCTCCTTTCAGGGAGCTGTAGAGGGCGATGAGGTCTCCCCTCAGCCTCCTCTTCTCCAGACTAAACACCCCCAGTTCCCTCAGCTGCTCCCCGTACGACCTGTGCTCCAGACCCTGCACCAGCTTCGTTGCCCTTCTCTGGACACTCTTGAGTCATTCAATGTCCTTTTTGTAGTGAGGGGCCCAAATCTGAACACAGGAATCGAGGGGCGGCCTCCCCAGTGCCGAGTACAGGGGTAAGATCCCTTCCCTGTCCCTGCTGGCCACGCTATTGCTGACACAAGCCAGGATGCCATTGGCCTTCTTGGCCCCCTGGGCACACTGCTGGCTCCTGTTCAGCCGGCTGTCAATCAGTACCCCCAGGTCCCTCTCTGACTGGCAGCTCTCCAGCCACTCCTGCCCAAGCCTGTAGCGCTGCTGGGGGTTGTTGTGGCCCAAGGGCAGCCCCCGGCATTTGGCCTTATGGAAACTCCTCCAGTTGGCCTCAGCCCATGACTCCAGCGTGTCCAGGTCTCTCTGCAGAGCCTCCCTACCCTTGAGCAGATCAACACTCCCACCCAACTTGGTGTCACCTGCAAACTGACTGAGGGTGCACTCGATCCCCTCATCTAGATCATCAGTAAAGATGTTAAACAGGAGTGGCCCCAAAACCGAGCCCCGGGGGACACCACTTGTGACCAGCCACCAACCAGATTTATCTCCATTCACCACAACTGTTTCGGCCCGGCCATCCAGCCAGTTTTTTTACCCAGCAAAGCGTGTGCCCATCCAAGCCGTGAGCAGCCAGTTTTGCCAGTATATTGTGTACCACTATGGAAATAAAAGTAGAAGTATCAGCAGCTGCCTTCGATTTGCCATTGCTTTAGTATTGTGATTTTTTGCTTCCTAACACACTTTGTGGATGTAAACTTACATTTAGCAACATAGGTCCCTGTTTTAGCTGTTTACCAAGTACTTCCACTGGCACTATTTTTTTGGTGGTTAGAGGTAGGTGTAGCTTATTGAAGAACTGCAGTAACAGTGTTTTAAGTCTGTGTCAAGTGTTTCTTTGTCACTTTAATCTAGAAAAGAAAGTAAGATGTTTCAGTCAGTGTTATGTTATAGATGTTCTGAATTATTGTAAAGGAATAGATAATTGTGCCATGGCAGACATAGCAAATGGAGCATATTCCATTTCAATTCCACTCTCATTTAGGAAGGTCTGTTACATTTTTTGGGGGGGAAAAAAAAACAAAAAACAACAAACAAAAAACGGAAAAAAGAAGCAAAATTATGGCCAGTGTTATAGTGAATTTGAGTCTCTAATCTCATATTTTGCAATATAAATAATTTTACATTAAGACCTGTATAATTGGAGGTATATTCGAACGACAGATTAATATGGGCAGATGTATATCTCAGGTATATTAGGTCTACCTATTTGAAGAATAAAAATTATTTAATACGATTTACTTATTTTCAAAAACATTCGTTTCAGTAGGGTTTATGGTACTATAGCTGAAATCTGACTGCCTTTAACTTTCTTTTGTTCTGAACTAAATTGTATCTAAGTAAAAATTTAATCTGCTTTACCGTGGATGTTTTAGCTTAAATTTCCTCTGCTCAGAGTGCTTTTTTTCAGAGTTTCATTACAGTTCAACTAATAATATGTATGTATTGTTTCCTCTCATGTGCAACATCTGTGCATCTGAGGTGAGTCACTGATAACAGAGGTTGAGCCTGGTGTTTCTGTAACTTCATGTATGAGCTATTCCAGGAGTTAGAACTTGCAGTTCTATTAGCTGGGGCTGAACCTAGCCGCTGCTAGTGCAGATTATATGGGATTTATGCGGAGATAGTTTAAAATGTGTACTTATATGACAGAGAAGTTTGTAAATTTACAGAAAATCCTTATTTATCTACCCTTTTATTTTCATCAGGATACTGCTTGGATCACTGGATGTGATTTCCTACCGCAGCTGAAATGTGTCGTGGCTGTAACTGAAAGAACAGTCATTGTCTGGGACTATAAATCAAAAGAGAGCCAGGTATTATGTAGGATCAGGCAAATGTTAAAGAGGAAGCCTGAAAAAGATTAATCTTTGTTCTCAATATGCATTCATATTCCTTTTGTCTAACAAGATGAAGGCATTAACTTTTGTCTTTGTAGGAACTCAGTGGAACAGTAGAATTTATCGTGAAGAACGAATACCCTTTCCACAACAGTTGGGATTATTAGAGTGTCTTAAATACTTGGAATAGAATAATTTTGGACTATGTTGCCAACAACCCTCCAAAGAATTTATCTTCTATGTATATCTAATGCATAGGCATACAGATGTATAGCTAATATGTGTGCATGTGCATGTGTATATCTCAGAATCTATTAAGAATCAAGGGACAGGTTTTCCAAGGAATTTAACATGGACTCCTTTGAAGTAACTTTCTGATTTAATGAAAATATTTCTTCATATCCTGCAATTTGTTCAGGACTTTCCAAGAGCAAAATCACCTTGATGTTGATAGTGTATGTCCAAACTATTAAAGTTTTCCTGAATGCCTTATTACAAAGTACAATTTTTGCAAGGAATTCTGATCCATACCTTAGCTTTATCCACCCATTCCTGGGACTTTTCTCAACAATACTGAGTTGGCTGAGAAGATGAGAAGAGGCAAAGTAAATATTTTTAGGATAAGATCAAGTCTTAGGATTTTTTTTTTGTTTGTTTATTCTCAGTTTTTGTCCCTGCTATACAAAAAAGATGTGGATAGGCTAGAGAGGGTCCAGAGAAGGGCCACAAAGATGATCAAAGGACTGGGAAGCCTGTTGCATGCAGAAAGGCTGAGAGAAATGGGTTTGCTCAGCCCAAGAAGAGGAGGTTTAGGGGAGACCTTGTCACCATGTTCCAGTATTAAAAGGGTGGCTACAAAGATGGAGACTCCCTTTTTACACGGAGTCACATGGAAAAGACAAGGGGTAATGGGTACACTTTACTCCTGGGCTAATTCTGACTGGACACAAGAGGAAAATTTTTCACAGTGAGAATAATTAGCCACTGGAATAATCTCCCCAGGGAAGTGGTAGATTCACCAAAACTGGACACTTTTAAGATTCAGCTGGACAGGGTGCTGGGCCATCTTGTCTAGACCGTCCTTTTGCCAGGTTGGACCAGATGATCCTTGGGGTCCCTTCCAACCTGGTGTTCTATGATTCTATACTTCTGTGATTAAAAGACCACTCGCCATGCTCAGACAGGTCAATAGAAGTCTTTCAGTCAATCCAATTGGACTCCTGTGAAGGAAGGCTCCAAAAATTTATTCTCCACTCATTATTCTCCAGGTTTCCTTCAGTCATTTCATCAGTGAGAGCTGGAAGTGTTCTGTGGTTGAATAGGAGCAGTTCTCTTTTGAGACCACAGAAGTAATATATAGACAGTTCTGTATCTGTGTTATGTCTCTTTAACATTTCTGTGCTACACAGACAACATTGAAGCAGTTAATTCCTACAGCATGTGAACAGTTCCAGTTTAGGTTGGCAAGGATGCTTTAATCAAATAACAGATGGAGCCGGGCAGTAGAACCAATAAACAGTATAATACAGATGACCCAAAATCCCATTCCTGGGCCTTCTCAGTCTAACAGAATACCACAATGACTTGCAACTGTATTCATTTGCACTGTCTCAGTTCCTGAAAATTCAGACACTTGCCCATGTAAGTACACATGGTATTCCCAGGCTGTATTAATAATTAGGACTCTGATATAATTTCTCTTTGTGTGTTACTGCTGCATTTTATGGTTAGAATAATTCTTCAATTTTACTATTTCCAATTTTCTTCTAGAGAGCATCTTATTTTTGAACAGGAAGCCATATACAATTTTAGTAAATATACTATCCCATTTAGCATGGAGCCATCCTCCCTAAAATTTGAAATTAGTCTTTTCTCACCAAAATGGAAGAGGCTACCTCTGAAATAAAGCCTCACTGAAATCCTTAAAGTTTGCATTTAGGTTCACTTGATCTTCCATGTGTGTCTTAATACCAGGAAACAGCTATCACAGGGGGATCTTGAAAAAACAAAGTCAAGAATTGAATCCTGATCTAAGTAGATAAGCCTGACAGGTTTAGTCACCTTAAGGACTCGGGCAATATCTCATAAACTGTCTACATTTCACAGAATAATTGCTTTATCATCAAACCAATGGAAAATGGTCTGCTCTGTGTTTGCACGGTGACTGTGTCAGATCACCTGGCTAAGGAGGATATCCTAATGGGAGATGATAAGGGTTATGTTCACCTGCTTACTGTGACCAGTGATCACTTTAGATTGAAACAATGTAAAGGCAAAAAAGAATCACAGCTTCAGATCTTGGACTCCAAAACTTTTAACATGTAAGTTGCTTATGGTAAAATATTATCAATCTGGCATTTATTTCTTTTTTATATATATTCTAATGGAGGATTAGCTTTTGTGTATAAATTACCCCCACCTAACAAAGAAAATAATTTTTCAAACTGCAGTAAGTATGATTTTCTTCTTGTTATGTGAAGGAAATGCCATCATTTTCAGTAGGAGATCTTACAAGAGATCTAACAACAGAGAGGCTGCAGAGTAAAATTACAGGGAAAAATTCACAACTGCTGTTATCCAGATTGACGCAGGCACAGCTTTATTGTGTCTGATTAGATGGCAGCATAATTGCAACAAGAGAAGTGCATGATTCAACTCTAAGTTTAGCTCTGCTTGCCTTTGAGCTGGAAGAGTGGTTCTGTATCTGCCCCAGATATTAAATATTAGCATTGGTTGTGTATAATCTCACTGACAAAATCCCTGTGCACCTATGGGCATATTACAGTAAATGCTAGTATATCCTAATAACATCTCAATTTATATCCCCAGTGTTAAACGCAAGCTACATGATGACTGGGTTGTGAAAGTTAAGTATATTTCTGACCTAAATTGTTTTGGATCCTGCTCCTCAGACAGCATTCATTCATTTGTTTTGGATGACATAAAGCGGCTAGAGGACAACTTGTAAGTATATGACATCTTCTGAAAAAAATAGACCTTTTGCTTTATAACTCAGTCTGTTTATAATCTCAGTCTGTGTTGGCTCTTGTGCTTTAGCAGTGAATAAAACAGAATAATTCAGTTGAGTTTCAGAAACTTGCAGTCTTCATGTTATTACACAACACAAAATAGGTAAAATAGATACATTATCCAATAAATTTCATGTAAGCAGCAGAAAAGTAACTGCACTTTATGCAAAATAGAGGCCACAATAGACTTCCATGTCTGAAACAGGCAAAGGCAGTTGGTTTGATACTGTTCCTCAGTGATGAACTGCTTTAAACGCACAGAAATCTGTGAAGGCTTACTTTGGCAACAGCTACTCTTTCAGGGTTCTGTTTGGAGTACAACTGGTAAAGGATTCAGGTGTTTAAATCAGAGATTTATTACTTTAATGGAAAGTGCACCCTGTTCCTGTTTTATAAATGCTAGTATCACTATTGTCTGTATGACTATAAGTCACTATTACAAATCAATTCGCTTTACGAGAGATTTTATACATTATGCAAACAGCTACTCTATATACTAAAGAAAAGTGGAATGACTGTAGATGGTATTTTCCTAATATTTCTTACCTGATTAACTGTTTTATTAATCATTACAGACCTGTAAAGGAATTTGCTGTCCCTAGAGGAGTCAGTGCCTTCGCATACTGTAGAAAAGCAAAAGTCATTGTCACTGGGGGTAAGTATTGGAGTTTTTTCCATGAGATTGTTCTGTTGTGAATTTTTTTTCCCAGTTAAATAAGATAAAATAAAGCTGAGTTAGTATCTTAGGATCTTAAGAATTTAAGTAATAGCTTCTGTCTTAAATGATAGGAAACAGAGGTCTTGCTTTTAATTGCTGGGAGGCTCACTGAAAAGATATACTTCCTGACAGGACTCTGTCAAGGGCTCAGTCTGGGTTTGATTCAAGTAACGTGTTTTTATATAATAAAACAGGAGAAAGTATGTTGAACTACTCTAAGGGACTTTTCCATGTCACAGTGGTGACTGTCTTGGCCAGGTTATATACATTACTCCTTGCAGTATCAGTAGGGCTCCCATCTCTTCCTATTACTCTTTGACCATCCTTTCCTATTTTAAGCAATCACATTGGCCCATCTTACTACTTTCTGTTGCTCATCTCCAGTCATGTTTCCTTGAAGCTTTACTGTTTGTTCTTTCTCCCAAAGCAGACTACAGAAACTGCACTCTTACATCCATTTCTTCCCTATTATGCAGTAATTTTATGAGCCTTTCTATTGTAGTGGTCATATTTTGTGCTGCAGAAATGTGGTTGGAGTATGGCAGCATTCTTGTTTATGTATTCTGTCTGACAGGGTGGTGCCCTGGAGTGACATTGATGCTGCTTATCTCAATGTATTCATTATGAACTATTCAGTATTCAGTCTTGCTTAAAACTTTGTTAAAAAATGCAATAGCAAACATAGCAATTCCTATGTCTATATGCAACAAGAACAAAAAAAAACAATGACCAAGGCTCTGCTGTTCAGCTTTGATAATATGCAAGACAGTAAAATATATTTTGAAAAAGAAAAAGACCTAGATATGGCAAATAATGCAATTCAAGTTGAATTGTAGCAGTTTACCAAAGGGAAAACTGTGACAGATATAAAAATAAATATCAGACAGTTCTATTGATTTTCTAGACACAAGGTTTAAAGGAAAAGCAATAGGGCTATAAGAAAGTTATTAGTGAAAATTCTGAAGTTCAACCTTGGAGGAGATCTTATTTGCATTGATTACCTTGTCACAAAAAGTAGTCTGGAGAAATTTACTGATGACATAAAGTAGGGAGGCACTATAAAACAGAACGGTGTTAGTATTTACTGCAAGTAGAACTGGAGGATTTTCCTGTGGTAATAAAACCAGGATGAAGTGTCTGAATATGACAGGTCAGTTACACATGAACTAATAGAAGTTTCGGTTACACATTGAAAATTCTTCTTATGGAAATAGCAGAAAATAAAAAACTGGACAAACTTCCTAAGAAAATAAGAATAGCTATGGCAGGCCAGACCAAAGGTCTGCCTAATCCACTATCCCCTCATTGACAGTCACCAGCAATAAACACTTATGAGAGAGTATAGGGATAGGACAATCATGCAGCAATACTTGCCCTAGATACCTGTGTTTGTTGAAATATCTATTCTGCAGTTAACAAAGCATTAACTTCTCTGAATTTGACATTGTATCCACTGGATCCACTGAATTCACTGTATGGTTGACATGAAACATATTTGAGAAAGATTAGTTGAATATGGAAAAAGGGTGGAGGAAACCTATCACACAGAGACTAAACCTATTGCACAGAGACTAAAAAGTGTATTTTCTATAACCTAGAAAAATGACAATTAACAAGGAATACCATTGCTATCTATGAACTATCAGGAGAAAAAATATTAGACCAAAATTTAGAGCAGTGATGTTCTGGAAGAATCTTCTGAATAGTGGCAGCTGCAGAAAGGAATATCCTTCTCGGTTTAAAATGGAGCTTGAATTTTTTGAAAAGGATAGACTGCATATTTGTCTGTGATGGTTGAAGTCTAAACTTAGAATGCAGGACCTCCTATCCCATCTAAACAGCTACCTAGTCAGAATAGTTTAGAAGAGGACATTTCATTTGGATTTTAAAATTATATTAAAAGGCATCCTCCTGCCTTTCAACCTCATTTCCAGTACTTAGCTGGGCTGCTTCCACTGAACACAAAAGGAAATTATTCCTGAGCTGGATTATTGAGAGTCACTGGAGAGAGTGGGAATGCACAGCCAAAGACAGGCTGGGATCATCTCTTTCAATTTCACTGTGAAGTTTAGATCAGCCTTGGGCTACTACAAAGCTGCACCTAGAGTTAAGAATAATGCTACAGTGCTTAGAGATCCATCTACTAAAGTCTTCAAAAGCTGAGATTTAGAGTTCAGTGCTCTATTCATAAAATACACTGCTCACAATGGCACAGCAGTCAGACTAGAGCACGCTATGTTTGCATCCATATCCTAAAAGACATCTCTTTGTCTGGCTGAGAAACTCATGTTGATGATCCAGTTAATGAGAGAATTGAACTATTTAGAACATAGGCTAGTCCTGTTGATTAGGAAGCCTGCAATTTTAGGTGTAATATACTCTAAAAATCAAAGACCAGAACAGGTAAACAGTTCAGGCATCATCATACATAGATTTCTTGGTGATGTGCAAACATTTGTAACAGCTATGTTTATATGTCATATTCAGAAATTAAAAGAAAAATCCAGCCTTTGTTTGCAGACTAACTTCTAAAGTATTCAGGGGATAAATCTGCTAACCACTTTTAAGTCCCAACCTGTTGTTATTTAGCCAGGTGTTTAAAGCACAAATGGTATGCAAAATGCTACAGTGTATTATTACACTGGGAGGTAACTATTTAAAAAGTCATGTTTTGGCACTCTTCCATCGTTTATTTAGTTGTATTTGAATATGCTCATGAGTTTGTCAGTACTGTGACACAACCTAATTTTGTCTTCCAGATACTTGACATTTATAATAATGAATAAGAAAGATAAAAGCAAACCTGATATAGATTTCATTTTTCATGCTAAAAGCTAGACTTCAACCAGTAAAATTATAAAAGACTGATAGTAGCCTAAAATATGGAGCCCACAATAGTTTAGAATAACTTTTCTGTGTAGCATTTTGCATTAATATTGTGTTTAATGGTAAAATGATATGGTTTTCTTCTTATTCTATATCTATTTAAATTCCAGCTATGTCTTAATCATCACTTCAGAGAACAGCTACAGATAAAATCAAACTATGTTTGCATATAAAAGCTGGAGATGATCAGTTTTAAATTACATGATACATCAACTTCTAACCCTATTGGTTGTTCAGATCCAGCTATTGTTCTCCTGTGAGCAGTAAAGTGGAAGAAAAACTATTAGTGATTTCTAAATCTAACAATAGCAACCTAAGACTGATAAAAGGAAGTCTTGTGTGCATGCTCAGTATCTTTTGTGTATTCCTGGCACAAGTGAAGTAACTGGTAACATCTTACACTTTTTTTTTGTTTGTTTTTTTCTACTGGCACTATACATTGGTATTGACATTTTCAGGAATTCCCAGGAATCCTAGTTATAGAAATCCCATCCCAGGACTCCACTAATATTAGCCCTCAAAAACATAGCAGACTTTTATATGATGCAGTCTAAATTTATGAAGACAGACATGGCAGCACAAAGAAAAAAGAAAAAGGCATTGGTCAGTATGATGAACATATGAACTTGTGTTAGTTTACCAGATGTCTATCTGTTCTGAAGAGGTTTTGCAGACACTATAATCCAAGATTATTTAAAAGGCAGATTTGAAGGAATGGCAAGCTGTTTTAAAGAATAAGGGTTCCTTCTATGTGAGTGGAGCAGCACAGAAAGAAACCAGGAATTATATTTGTCATTTCTAGTTTATCAGAGGATGCCAAGCTAAGTGTATCATCTTTCCATTCAAAAATGCAATTGTTCTCAAGGGGCTTTCAACACCACTGAAATGTAGACATCTAAGCAGACCTGTAATACCACACAAATTACAAAACTCTGTAAGCAAAGGAGACAATTTGACAAAGCATCACATGTTCAAAGAAGATATTGGAAACCATAATATCTGGCTAGAATAGAGCTGTGGTCATAAAATCAGACTTTCAAAAAAAACGTAAATATATGCTTTCATAATTATTTCTCTTGGAAGGGAGAATACTGAACTGAGCTCATTATGATTCAAATAATTGATTTCACAGATTCTTAAACATTTGCTGTCGAATATGTAGACAGATAATTCATCTTCTTCAAGCTTTTCTTGAATGTGTTTAGTACCCATGCCTTCTGTGCCAGGATTCTGAATCCCAGAGGCATATTTGGAGCAGAGAATAAATGTTCCAACAAAGGTTCCAGTGAAGCAGCGAATGTTAGGGCCAGTCTGGCATTGGTCTAGAAAGAGGGGAGAGAACATTCTACTATAACCAAATCCACCATTATCTCCACATTAGTAAAAGGAACTAACAGTAATAAACTAATCCACTATTTCACTTGAGAAGCAAACAGCATTTTTAATGTAGGTAATGTTTCCTAATGACTCTCATTCTTCCTGTTAATATCTTAAGTAAATAGCATGTATTAGTGATTCTATTCTTAAGAGAAACTCTGTGCCACAATTAAAGGGCACTATCCTCCTGTTCATTCATCTGCCGTCACCTCAGGAATATAAAGAACAGAGCAATTAAGAAGACTAAGAAAGATCCTGTTCCTCAAAAGTGCAGGAAGTAGGTAGTTGAGTTGATCAGATGCTGTCAACAGTTTCTACCGATTTCACCATCATTTTAAGATATGACAGTGTCCATTTGGGGCTGCTAAAGGGCATGCTGTTGAAGCAGTTCCCTCTGACATTGTAACTGATCTCACTTGATGCTTCTGTCTGCCATTGTCCATGGTCCCCCTTTCCTGCACAGAAGTTACCCTTCCATCATGCCAGTACGGCTGTTTGTGTGGCTGCATTCTCTGTCACACTTGTAAAATGAACTGGCATAAACCAAAATAACTTTCTGTTGTAGCTGTTTTAAGAGTAGATAATTTCTCCAGTGAGCCTCTCTCATTTAGAGAGAAGCTACATAAACAGAGAAATCAATTTAACTGAGAGGACAATAATGTTTAATAGAGGAAAATGGAGATGGGGTGCTACTAAATGAATCACATATCACTGTATTAAGAAGGAAAGGAATAGATTTCTGGAGAGAGGGAGGGACTGACCAGTGACAGTAGGTTGAACAAGCTTAAGGAAGATCCCTGGAGAGCAGACTGCAAGACCTCTTTGTTAACAAAACTGAGCTGAGCATTGTAGTCTTGAAGTTGAGTGATTGTTCTCTTGAGGCATGTACCTCCTAGTTTATGGTTTTTTGGATTTCTGCTCTTCACTTTAAGTCGAGAAAAAACTAAAACTCAAACTGAAGTCTAGATAAAATGTGGCTGTTTCATTTATTGCATGTCAAAATAAAGTGTTTGGCTAATTGCATAGAATTCATACAATTGCAATATTTGCCAGGAATTGAAAGTTAAAATATGAATTAATTAATGTCAAATTTAAACTGAGTTCGTGTTCTCTTGAAACTCCTGTGAAAAATATGAAATATTTCAGTGCACTAGGTACAGTTGTGTTTACATCAGTATATAAACCCAGGAGTTTACTAATACATTTTTAATATCTTTCTGTTTTGAAATATTTATGGAAACTATTACAAAAATAGTACTAAAGATTAATCTAATATTACTAAAGATTAATCTATAATAGAATCAAGGATTATTCCCTATGTTATAGGTGATTTAATATTTTAACATACAAATTAATACGAAATACCTAATTCTCATTTACTTCAAGATACAAAATCACTCATAAGCAGTTATTGTTTCCTATCTGCCCTCAGCTTTCATGCCTGCTCCCCTTCCTGTTCTGTATATCCACTCTCTTTATAGAGGTGGCCATCCCTTCATTTCTTGGCTTTAAGTGGGCACAAAAATTGTTTTGACATTTGTCTAAATTAGATCTTTGAAGGAAAAAAATCTGACCCCGAGTTCTATTTGTAATAAGTATTCTGCTCCTATGGGACCAGCACATGTAGTTACGTCCAGTGTCCCTGACATTCCTCTGGCAAAATAAAAAGTCTTTGAAAGGCAAAACAGTGTGTTTTTAATACAAGTTTGGGGATAAACAGCAAAAACATAAGCTGAAATCCAGCCCTTAGAATGAAAAATTCACATCCTTATGTGGAGTTGCCTACATGATGAAAGCAGAGACTTATCTCTCCATTATGAATCTTATTTGTAATACCAGTGTCTATTCAGTCTTTCTGACTTTTTTTTTTTTTCCCTTCAGGTCATGACAAACTTCTTCGTTTGTGGCATCCTGCTATTAATAAGAGGCCTACAGGGAAGCTGTCAGGACACCAACATAGTATTGTGGAAATTGTGATAAATGAAAAAGATCAGCATGTTATCAGCCTTTCCTCTGCAAAGGTAAAACACTTAACTCCATGGAAATCAATGCTATAAATGCAAGTAGGAACCTGCTTTTGCATAAGTACTTCTGATAGTATCTAATCCTAATCTCATTGTTTATCAGTTCATTTATTTTGATAACAAGTTTGAATTTTAGCTTAAAATTTCCAAATTATTTTATATTGAGAAGCAAGATTAGAATGAAACTACTTGACATATTTTCTTTTTGAATGTGACAAAAGAATACTTGCAATAGTAGATGTTAACATTCCAGTAATTTCCATATTGCTTTGGCAACTGCCAGAGTTATAACACAACCTGTACCTGAATGCTTCATTCAGTAGTGATCACCTGCAAAAACTCCCTACAGCTTCATTTACCCTTCTCTCTGCCTGTCACCCTACTAAATCCATAGGTGGAGTTTTTCTTACACTGGTGACTCTATACATCATGTTCAACTATTGACCTCTTTCTGAACAGTGTCTTCTACAAGGCTTACTGATCTAAAACATTGTCCATGAACAGAAATAATAATAAAATCAATAGTATAACTTCAACAAAATATTGCAAGATTCTGCTGGAAATGGATGGGTTTCCTTTAAGTTATTGGTGGAATCATGGCATCAGTAGTTTAGCTCATTTGTCAAAGCAAGACTGTTCAAGAGAGAATAAAAACTTCTAAAAATATGTGCAAAAATAAATGAGAAGCCCCTGAAGGAGCAGTTATAAACAGCTATGGAGCTCTTTGAAGAGTGGTCCTATGCAATATTTTCAATATTCAGCACCATTCAATATTTTCATTAACATTTACAGTGATGGAATAGAGAGCATACATACTAAATTAACCAGTTGCCTCAGACCAGTTAAGGCTGCAGGCCCTGAGAAGTATGAGAGTTCAGAATTGTCATTAAAATTGAATTGTGAAAAATACTTCCTATAAATCAGTTAAGGACCTAATCTAGTTAGTCTGCTAATCTGTAGATGATACATGGTATACACAAGAGCAGAGGAAGGTCAGTTATAACAGGAATGCTTACAACCCAGTTAAAGCACATTTGTGTTTGTATAAACAAGAACCAGGTATTATACAAAAGTGTTCAACTTCCCAGGGAACTTTTAATGTTATGTTAAACATATAATTTGTTTCCACCTAAAAGACAAAGACCAATTCTAGGCAATCTGCCTAGAAAAATCAAAATAGTTTTCTCAATTTTGTTCTCACCTTTCAGTGACTGTGATATAGGAGGCCACTGAGGCAAAATGAGGAGAGCCTATATATCTTCATGAAAATAAGTTAGAGATATCAATGATCTCATGGAGCATTGTAACCAAGGGAAACAAAATCTCTTTATAGTGAACAGATCTTGTATTAGCTGTTTCACAGAATAGCAGAACTGGGGAAAGGCTTAGGAAAATTAAATTAATACTTTTTCTGGATATTCCCAAAATTAAATTTAACCTAAAATATGTCAGATATTCACATTAAATTAAAATTTCTTTTATCGAACCATTTTCCAGCAAATACAGAACAAGGTAAAAAGTAGGGAATACTTTTTTTTTTTTTAATTAAGATTTGTCTCTGTTATATTGCCACATTTGAAAGCTCAGACTGATTTTATACTTTGTGGCTACTTTTCTTGAACTATACTGAAAATTTTCTTGACTTACTGTAAAGATATTTTTATGTTACATAAGTTACAAAGCTTTAAAACAGCATCATATAGCTAAACCTAAGTCTAATGGACTAGTGAAATATTTTCCTCTGATGACTCAACCTGAAAGAAGATTTTAGTATTTCACTGGTCACTGTTGGGTTAAACACTGTGTTCTTTAGGTAGATGTGTATGTACAGACTGGGGTATTCTTTATACTGTCAAGGCCTCTATCAGAAATGCGGTACATTTCTCTATATTCTGTGTACTGTTTGTTTCCATTTCCTTTGGAAAATGAGATGTGAATGTCAAAATCATCATCTTCCCAGTCAAGTTTAATTTCTTAATACCAGGCGTAGATAGTCCTTATTTTCTGACATAAGTGACTGCAGTGAGAAAGTTTCAGTTTCACAGGTGGAAAATCATAGCTTCTACCAGAGAACCAGGGAAAATTAAAGAAAGGTGGCAAATTTTTATACATCATACAAGAAGAATATAAAAAAACCTTACATGTTACAGTAGATAAACCTCACTATTTTTAGCTGTTCTTTAAAGGACTTGAGAAATAGATGATACACAAATTATTTGTTAAACTTCACTACATTTGCACTTTGTACTCACGAGATCTGGTCTTGGCATGAGCTGCTACTGTATTTTGTGGAATAATAAACTATTTTATATCTGTTCTTTTCTACTTCTATCACTTCTCGTGTAAATAGACACATGCTGATGTTGTTCAGTACTGTGGGCTCAGTGGATCCTGTTGGCATCCCACAGCTTTTCTGCTGCAAGCAAAGGCCTTAATTGCTAAAGAGATAGATTATATCTGTTAAAATAAAGCCTTAAAATGTTTTGAGATTTGGGTAATATGTTAAAAGTCATTGCCTTTGTTACTGGCCCATGAGTCAGACAATGGGAAGGGCTAAACAGTGGGAATAGGGGATATTCCTGTGAAATATATTTAGGAACCTTTTAGAGAAAAAAATTCCCAAACCATTTTCTTAAGTTAGACTGCTTATATTACACTTAACTTCTGGCTTTCGCTTCCTAGAATTGCATACATAATTTCCTGTGATCTGTATGCATTACTTTATGAGGAACAAGAGTTAATGCTGGATAGATGGCTTTTAAGATACGATGTGAGCTACATTCCCAGGGACTAATATCCATGGAGATAGAAAGCTAGAAAGCATATTCTTCCTGACTGTACTTAAGAAAATCAAATAGTCAGTCTTTTGGTAGTCAGTTTTCTTTTGTATGTTTTGTACATGGTATTAACTTTCTATATTAATGAAGTGTAAAAATGTTTAAAACAAGGGTTCAAAGATTGTTGTTACCTTGTTTTGCCCTCATTTGACCTCCAAGGACTTTTAAGACTTAAAAGCCATGCACAAATATACTCAGAAGAGTATCTTTGCAGCCCATATGTAATTGCTTTATTAGAGTTCTGAAGTAAGGAGTCACCTTGGCTTTTGGATTCGAACTTGTGCTGCAACAAAGGTTTGCAGTCTGAAGGAGTAATGGCTGAGTTAGGGGATTCAGAAACTCCAGTGAATGGTTTTAAAGATAACACAAATGTTATACATCTTTTTACAAGAGTACTAGGGGATTCAGTTGATGGTATTAGCTTTAGTTTCATACTATAGAACATTAATGTATGCCATAGTTTATACAGAAATGTAAAAATGAACCAATTGCAGCACTAGTGCAAAAAATAGAAATCACAGAGCATTTCTTTTACAATGGAAGTGTTAGTTTACAAGAATATTAGCTCTAACAGTCTTAACATACCAGAGCATGGAAAACAAAGTGGAGCCTAGGAGAAGGGGAGGGAGGCATCAGTGTGTTAAGGAAGTATCAAAAGAAATATCTCATGCAACACAATGGCCAAGATACAAAACAAATGTCTCTGTGAAGAGAACAGTATGATCGTGCAGACCTGAAATTAAAAACAATTTAAAAATAAAGGAAAAAGGTTGTCTTTCTTTCTGAAGTGCAGGTATTCTTTACAAGTGTAAATTACTTGTAACTGTATGCTAGATTAAAGGCAATATTGAAGTTACCCAAGAAGGTTAGGAAGCAGACATAAATAAATTATCTTTTATTATACTCATTTTTAAGAGCTTCCTTTTAACCATATGTCAAAAATTCTAAATAGAAATAAGAAAAAGATTTTTAACACAAGGGTCAGTATTATGAACTGAGGGAGACTGTCCCAGTGCCATAACTTCAATGAGGATGTAGATTGTTGCCTTTTTGTTTTAAGGCCTTTTAGCATACGTTTTATGTGCAAGCCATTCGTCTGATCATTGCAAGGATTTCAGGTGTTTTCTGTGGCTGCAATTTTTGCTCTTGAAGTCTACTTTTAATTTCAATTTATGAGTCTTTTTATTAAGAAATATGACTACACAACATTTTAATCGTTTTGATCTGTGATGATTTGTGATATTTAAAAAAAAAAAAAAAAAAAAAAAAAAAAAAAAAAAACAAAACAAAACAGTCTGATTATCAGGCAGTCTAGTTGTTGAATATGCCAGGGATCAATTTGCTTGTTTTAGTCAAGTTATTTTTAAGATGCATGTACTTCATTTTAGAGGACTGTTCTGCTTGCTTTTTCATCTGTTGCTGGATGGTCTGACTGGATTTCAGATGACCTCTTCTGACACTGCCCAAGTCAGTTTACATTACTTAACTTCTGAGATAGACAGATGATTCCCAAAGTACAGATTACTCAGCAGGTCACTTGTGTCTACACAGAAGTCCCATGTATATGTGGTAGAGAAGAGAGGGATGGAGGAAAAGGGTGAACCAGAGCTCTGAAAGAGTTGAGTGTTATAACATGGGTTTAGAGAGTCCTTAGTAAGTGCAGATCTCCAATATAAAGAGGCTTACTGTCTAAGACAGTGTACTTAAAACCCCCACCTTTCTAAGTAGAAAGCTGATCTCTATTTGCAGTGAACCTGTGCTCAATCCCTCTGTATGATACACAATCTGAAAGTCTCTAATGTAAGAATTACACTGCAGAAATTGCGTGAGTTACATTCATTCAGCAGAGGATAATTTAACCTTTATTTATTAGGAAAATGTGCAATCCACCTCCTGAATGAACTTGAGCATTTGACTGGCAAATGTTTTAATGTAGGCTCTGCTACACTGTGTGTTGACATTACTTTGCTGCAATGCAAAATGCAAGTAGTATGTGGATTATTTTCTTTAAATCAGATTCTTATGCACCACAGCCTTGATTATGATAGCTCATAATTCCAGGCTGTGTCTAAACTGTGAATTTCAAGAATTCTGTCCATCTCTCACATTCTGGTGCAAAACTTGTCTGCATCCTCACTTAGTGTTATTGTAAGGACCAAT